CTGGTCGTTAACTGGAGCATGCACAGAGGAAGAATTTGTTATGAGGGCTGCTTGCCTATTAAAGCATGAAATCCTTCCTAGGGCCTGTAGGCTAGTGGGGGTGCAACTGGCAACACCTCATTGTGGAGAGGGAATACCTTGATATGGAAAAAACACTTTTCAAGCTTCTCAGCAGTTAAACTACAAACAGTCCAAAACACAGCTACCAAAAAGCTAACTTTACACGTGACTGAAGAGCTTTGAAGCCAGTACTGTCTCACGTAACAGAAAAAGGACGGAATATAAAATTCTGCTTCCGGGAGAATTTGACCAGCAAATATTTTTAAGAAACTGGACTTAAGTATGTTGTCTGTTGATCTTTGGTTCTTTACTGTAATCTATCTTTTCTCCTCATGAAGGACTAACAGCATGAAGTCTGCCTAATAATTGCAGTTTTGACTGTCCCAACCATTTCTCCTGATAGCTTTGCTTTTTGTCGCCTCTGGATTTCATAGATTTTGCTGACTAGCAGATAACACTGGTTGTTACATGTTAGGTATATTTTAAAGTTATTTATTTGGTTGAATGTCGGTCAGATCTTGTTACTTTTGACCGAGGACACTTCATCTCTTTTTAAGGCTGGCTTGATTTACTGTCTTCTTTAGGGGAAGGTGCCTGCAAAACTTAAAAGGGCATAGGAGCTATATGGCTTATTTTTCTTGTACACGTGCAGAAAGTGGGTATGCCAGGGCCTATAGGGTTTTTAATAATATCTGTCAAAAGAAGCATAGAATTCCTAACCGCCATCGATCGCTAAGCTTATGTCGCAGCTTGTAGTAATTTGTAAATCATTTTGAAACTATCTTTTACATAAACAAACAAAAAATTACATATCCTGAAAGTAGGTAGCTTATTTTAAATTTTTTTTTTTATGTAAAGGTTGAAGGAAGAAGCTTTTGTAGTTCTGCTGGGATGCTCTGCTTTATGTAGACGTTATCATTGGTAGCAATATAGGCCTTCAGTGCCAACTGTTTTTTCCAGTCTTTTTGTTAATAAAATACCCTTCCTTTGAGTCATTCTTTTTCTGAATTTCCCAGATGGGTGTGAATTATTTTGACTACTGCTTGGTACTGGCATGCTAAAGTTAAGAGTTTTTTTTTTTCTTTATATGTAAGTCCTCCTGTAGTTTAAAAATCTTTATAATCTTCTAAAGATGTTTTGAGAAAGGAGATTTAAATACAAAAGAAAAAATTCTAAAGAGTTTTGAAGTGAAGAATGAATTCTGAGCAAAGCGGTTAGGGCGCTTGTGTGGTGCCACGGGAAGGGTAACTCCCCCTCTGAACTGTGCCTCGTTCTGAAGAATTTAGCAAATGTTTTTCTAAAGCAATTTTTCAAGGCTTCATCTAAAGTCATCCTTAGTTTATAGTTTCTTGCACATATGTTATCGAAACCTTGATTTGAGCAGCAGCTGACAAGTTGAAATTAGCTCCATGATGCATCTAGCCCGTCCTCCTCTTGTAAAGTTGCTTAACATAAAAGGAAAAAGTTACTGCAGGTATTAGCTGCAGTTACAGCTTATTCCTCTACATTATCTGTAGATTGTTACTGAAGTGTTCTAGTAAAGCCAAGAACTTTGGGAAATGTATTTTAATTTTTTTCTTAGGTTTCAGAGACAGAATGTTGTGTGGATGTGTTGGATACAAACAGTTCCTGTCCAGTAACCAACCAGTGCAGTCCAGGTATAGTGTGTCATTGTTTACTGAAGTTTCAGATTGTTTTGATAGCTAGCACCAAAGCACAGCGTCCGATTGTGTGGGGAAGGGAAAAAATATAATTAGTGCACGTGCAGGCTGAGGTCTCTGTTCCTCTCCATGCACACAGGTAGTGCTGATTATGACTCACAGAAGTTGTCCTTGCCTGGGAAGCAGAATAGACTCTTATTACTAAGCTTGTTTTCGTGTCTCGTTTTTTTTAACCTTTTTATTTAGTGTGCAGTTGGGTTATGTAAGAGCTAGTGCGTATAATGGGCATGAAAGGAAAAATGCAGTAAAGTATACCTAAAGGAGCCATAAGAATAGCTTCAGTATTCTGTCGTTAGCAGAGAATGCCTCATTCTTCCTTGTGCCATTTGAAGTAGAGGTTTTTTTTCTAAATAGTGTTTAAAACTTCTTTTGTCATTTTCCACGAATAGCATAAGAGGGTGATCTTTTTTTATGCAACTTTTTTTTTTTAAAGTCAGATAGAAAAAGCAAGGAAACTACTTCAGACCCCACATTAACAACAGAATTAGTGATTTTAAAAATTGGGACCAAGTTCTAGATTCAGTAATTTCCTTGTGAGTTTCCTCCTTAAAAGGCATTTTAAGTATAATTTCAGTGCCTTGTTAGCTTCTTTAACTATTGCTTTATTACTGCATTCATTTCTGCTTCCAAATGGTCTATGTCTTAGACATGGTATAAACAATTATCCCTAAGGTATGAAATCGCATTTTGTTAAATCATACTGTAAAATGGTAGTCTACCAAAATCTTTTGGTGTCAGATAAGTGCTTTGATGCTTCCTTCCTATTACTGAAGAAAGTCTTTGCCCTTACATTGTGTCCATTTGTGTTTAGATTAAGCGTCAGATACGATTTATGACTGTAGGCTTCAAGTATGCTGCTTTCCTCTCAGGAAAATGTAACAGCGGAGTTTATTCCAAATAGCACCTTACTAATTGTGCGCTTTATGAGATAACTGATACCAGTTTGGGCCAAGGCTCTAAGGAACTGGATTTTAGCCAGCACAGTAAGGTGATGGAGTTTTTGTTTTTGTTTTGCTTTAAAATTTAGACTGTAATATGGTCTAGTTGGAATATCTTTCTAATCTTCATGTCTTGAGTCTTATGACACAGAAGCCGGAAGTGAAACCACCACAGCTTTATTGTATTAAATAAAGTTGTTATTGAAGACATGCCATAACTTTTTTTTTTTCTTATTGAAGAGATAGCAATATGTCCTTTTAAATATAAATTGACAGACTTGGACATTGAAGACTTTGCCAAAGATGAAAATTTAATCAGTTTCCAGCCTGCTCTGGCCTGGTAGCCGATACAAAATGCTTGATGTTTGTCACAGACTAGTTTAAACAGTCTTGCGTTCTTCTTGAAGTGAAACAAATAGTACAGTACTAGAGGAGACTGAGCCTGCATTATGGTAGCATTCATACTGTTAGTTTGCCAGCGTTCAAGTGATTTGTTATAGGAACACCTGCATCTTCTTTCATCTAAGTGCACTCTTTTCTGGTTCTTAGCATCTTTGTCCCTACCTACTTCTGTTTTCAATACTATATATAACAGTGACATTAAATTCTATTTCAACAGTGTATGACCTCTGAAGATAAAAAGCAGAATGGTGCTTCTTTTTTAGTATTGTTGAGGGTTTTTACAGATGATCAGAAACTTTCCATTTTTCTTAAAACTAAAATATGTGAAATGGCAAATGGAGCTGTGCCTTCTGGGAGTTGTTTGCTTGTAACATTCTCCTTTTTTGTCTCTTAAAAGGTTGCGTCTTTTCTGGAATAAACACTGTGAAATGAAACCTGAACTTGTGTAGTGTGATAGGAAGCAAGAGACATTTGTGACTGGTAGACCAAACTGAGAGACTTTTTGTCACCTCTACTTCTTTATGAAGACTGGGAAATAACTCCAGTGCAGCTTTTACTGTTTTCAGATCACTGTGCATCTTAATTTTATGCAGGTTGTTACAGGCGATGGAATGAAGATGGTAGTAGTAGCTGCATTAAATGCAAAAATGAAACCCTTCCTGTTGCAACTGTTTACAATCTGACTGATTGCAGAAATAGTAAGTTATTTACTATCCCTTTATTTTGATGGGAGTCTTTTGGTGTTGAGATCTCTTCTTGCATGCGCAGTCCAGCAAAGAACATTCAAGAAAGAATTGAATGGGTCAGAATCTTTTTCCCATCCTTGCAAAACTTCACCCTTTTTCTGGAGTCCTAATGTACCTTGGAAGTTTTGAATTAGACACTCAGCAAGCCTATGGAAACTTTCAAGTTGAGCTGGCAGAAACTGTGCGGAGTGCTGTGGAACCATTCCAGAAACTAGGAAGAGAAAAGAATTCAAAATTTGGTTATGTCTTAAGAGTACCTAATCTGTTAAACCAAATGCAACGTGAAAAAAGTGGCATAATGATGATGAATAAAAGTTCTTAAAATAAGAAAGCAAAGTCCTAAAAATCAAAATGATTATACTTGCAGGGTAGACAGGTAGAGGTATCAGACAAATATAATAAATACTGAATTGCTTGAATGCTTTGATCGCTGCTTTTAGAGGGAAGACATTTGGCGTGGGTGTATGCTAGGGACTTCTCCAGAGCACAGCTAGCTCATCATGTACTTGAGTTCCCTGAAAAATCTATATGGAGGAGGCCACGTTCATTTTGTATGTGTGATTTTTTTATTTGACAGCTGAGATGCATTTGTTTGCTTATAAATATTTTAAGCGAAAGATGTAAGAAACTCGATCTAAGTTTCTGATAAATGCGCCAGTCAATAGTTTTCTCTTTGGACAAATGATGATGATGTCTGTTTGCTTCCTTTTTTGAAATTCAAAAAGTGATATCAAGAATGCTGTTCCCTCATGGGAGAAACCAGGATTCTTATGCATTTTCAAATTACTTAATAAAAGGCTATCATATTTCTCATATTTTCAACAAATACACAGTTATGGTAAGGCTTTACTTTAAAAATGTCTTTTTTATTACAGCTGGTATCAGAGGAATGAATTTCCAAATGAATATAAGCACTGTAACTCCCTTCATACAAAACATAGGTGAGTAAATGGAAATGGAAAGAGAAATATATATCGGATGCAGGCTTCATGATCATCTCCTGAATAGCAACTCCTTCATGATGCGGCATTTGGTGAAATATTTTTTGCTTTAGCACAAGTTTTGTTCTAAAGTCATTTTCACTTGTTCTGCCTTGCTATCAACAAGAATCTTTTATAAGTCTTAGAGTTGATTTTTGAGGTAACTGCATTTCTTTCACTGAATGATATTTTCATCCTGTTATACCAGTCTGGAAGTGATTTTCTTGTACTGATCAAGCTGTTTTTTTCTGGAACCCCATGACTTGATTTTTGAACCTTATGCTGGAAGGGTTTTGGTTTTTAGGGGATGAGACCTGCTACATGACTGAAAAACTTGATTACCTTTCTATACATAGATTTTTTTCACTGCTGACCAGTCACTTCCACTTAATCTCTTAAAAATGTTTGTTTGACACAGGTAAGTAACACCAATTGAGAATATTTGGATAAAGGAGGTGGCTTAGAGTGTTTGGCATGAGTGCTCTTAAAAAGGAAAGCTTACACAGTCAAGTCAAGCATGGGTGCTATTGATTCCTTGCAAACATTTGTCTTGTCATCCACATGTATCTACTTGATCTGAAGTATCTCTTGCTGTTCAGACTGTGGACTTCTCCAGAAGAGCTTTTCAGAGATATCCCTTGTTTCAGTTTGTCTGTAACAAGATTGTAAACATCTTTTGTTTCTTAAAATACTTGCTATTAGTGATCATAACCTTAAAGCGACTATATTAAACCAGCAGAACAAACATGCAGGGTTTGGAGCAGGGGAAGTGGATGTAGAGATGGGATAGGGCACCTCTTGCTGACATCTGCCTCCTTTCTATATCAGTTGCTTGTACAGTTCACCCAGCATTATGTATTCCACCAGTGGTGTAACGTCTGTTGATGAGCCCTGTCTTTAGGGGACTTCACTAAAGCAGCAAAATAGCAATTAATACTAGTGTTCTGTGCCTGCTGGCACTGGTTTTGAAAGTTACATAAAAAGGGAAGGATAGGTTAAAATTTTTTTTCTCGCTTTAGGAAAGTAAAGACTAAGACCGTGCTGACGTTTAGGGGGAAGGGGGAAGTTGTCATATTATTAAATGAATATGGGAAGATCTTAGCAAGTGTTTTGGCGAGGCCTTTGTGAAGACTTGGTGTGTAAAACCAAATGTGAATTTCTTCTTTTTATTTCTTATATGAAGATTAGGAAGCTGGTCTGTATTTTCTGTTTAACCAATCTATTAGAAGAGATTTCTGACTGATAATAGTCTTTTCTCTGATTTTTTTACAGGGGGCCCAGAAGTGGCAGCCTCTCTTATAGTGGGAACATTTTTCATCAGTTTATTCCTGATTCTGTCTGTTGCTTCTTTCTTCTACCTCAAACGGGCCAATAAACTTCCTAATGTTTTCTACAGAAGAAACAAAGGTGAAATACCTCTAAGTAATTGGCTATTTCATCTGTAAAGTTTTAGCCTCTGCTCGGTTTCCTAATTTAAAATCCTTTTAATTTCATCAGGTCACTGTTCTAACTTTATGTAGCTACTGTTATATCTTCCATTCATCTAAAGCAATGCAAACTAACGAAATATTTTCCCCTGCTGTGTCTTTACTGTGCCATGTTTTTGCAGCAGTGCAGAGGATATCTGTTCTCAGTCTAAGTGTTCTTAGGTACATATTGCATAGTATCTCTCACTTACCCATCTAGTATTTTTTTTGCAGCTTCCAAAGATCTCCTGTACTACAATACATGGCATCAGGCTTCACTGCATGTTAGATATTTACTTAAAAACAAACAAAAAGCCCAGTGCTTTTTACATACAACATATTTTAACAGAATTTAATAATACCTGTTTATTTCAATGTGCAAAATGCCGGACATTTATAAAGCCTCACAGGAAGCAGCTGTTATTTGTCCTTGGTTTGGAGAAAAGGAAAGTATAGCACCCAAAGGGCAGTGGATTTACCGTGGATGAATCAGCAGCAGGAGAAAGGGAATGGAGTTTGAGGTTCCTCATTACTACATTACTCAGTTGTCTGTGTTTGTCCTCTATATGCAGGGACTGCTGGGCCTTGAAGAAGGCAACTGCCTGAACGTTTTTTTAGAGCACATCCACCTTAGCTTTTCTTTTTAGAATGAAATTTATTCTTTATTTCTGCCATTCTTCTAACTGAGAAATGGATCAACGTGACTAGAATGGAATAAGTTGACTTCTTCATGCCAAAGTTAGTCCAGAAAAGCTAGGGGAAAAACACCTAGGACACACTTAGCTCAATATGTAAGACTTTATGTAGCCACCTGGCTTTTTCAAATGCCTCAGTTACAGTGGAGTTATTGCATGTGTCGTCATCTTATTGGTCTTCAGGTCCTGGGAGGTGGTGAGCAAAATATGTGGAAGCTGATATCTCCATTTTGCCCAACCTTTTGTGCAAAAAATGAGGCTGATCTATGACTTCCTGTGTTGCCCCTCCTACACAGTTCCTTTGAAACCTTCCCATGACAACCTCTAGCATAGCATTTGCCCTGTTAGAGCTCCTTCTGTTGAACAGAAAGCTGTTTATTCGTTAGATCTACTAAACAAACACATCTGTCCTCTTTTTCTTTAATGCACCTTGCAAGTCCGAGTCCAAACTAGACTGTCAATAGAAATTGATTTTAAAAGAGAAAAAAGGTTGGGGTAGGAGGAGCAATACAGCTCTTCTAATGTGTGGCCAGGAATGTCACACCTAGTCATAGTAACCTAACGGCATATCATTTTTCCAGTGTCTGTGGTATCGCTTCATGTAAAAGTATACAACAGTAGATACCTAAAGTTTAAACTGTTCAGTGCCCCAGGAACTGCTGGTGTCCTAATAATAACTGCCAGACTGGAACCTCCAAGCTGCTTTTGAATGTATCTTCAGGTAAATTCAGTTGGTACAAAACTGTCCTCAGGTTTTTAGTGGGTCAAGAGCTATCATGCTGTCACATCTTTAAACCGGCAGGACACCAGACCTCTGCTGAGACTTCAGTGATACCGGCCTGATTTCCTCGTTTTGTACTGCTAGTTCTCTTTGGCCCAGCAGGCTAAAGTATTGAGATTCCTCTTCGCAGAAGAAGCGTTAGAAACATTTCTTTGGCTTATTGTTGTGTTAGCTCTCATTCTGTCTGGATCATGATTATCATGTGGCCAGTAAACGCAGCTTGCAAGTTATAGAAAGGGTTGCCTCTTTGACTGCTTGATCGCTTTATATTTGTACTGCTTGTTTCTTGTAGCTGGCTCAAGGTGCTTTTTTCTCTACTGGAGCTTCTCCATATGAAAGGGACAGTACTGTGGCTATCTCCTTAGAAGGAAAAATAAGTCATTCTTGGAGACCTTTGCAACCCTTTATCTTTAGTGTTGAACAGAATCCTAGAGACAATGTACCCTGCTAATGGGAATTTTGAAAATGCTGATTTGGTTTGGTGTTTTGTTTCTCTCAATCCTTAACCTTGGTAGGGATATAAATTCTCTTTGTGACCAAACCTATTTTTATCAATAGAACTATTCTGTTGCACACGCATTTTTAGAAAACTAGCAGTTCTAGTCTTCCAAACTAATGATGATTAGTCTCTTTATCTCTCTTTCTTTCTTTTAGCATCTGTTCTCCAGCCTAGTGAAACAGTAAGTAAAATCTGTCCTTCTAATAAGAATAAGCAAGTACAAACTGCCAAGTAAACAATAACTTAAACTTTTAACAATTATGGATGGAGCTACCTGATCTGATGCATGAGAAACTGAAATAAAACCATGTCATTGGGCTCTTTGTCCAAATTCAGAAGATCACAAAAGATGAATACTGACCATACGGATTCACTTGAGTTACTTTCTCCAAGAAAGACTATTTACACACTGAAAATTATTGGAACTGTAAAGTGTTCCTGTATTTTTTTTATTTTTTATTTTTAAATAAGAGGCTGAAGACAAAAGGTACATTGTTTGACTTAATCATTCTTCTGTTATGCAGGCATCCATGATACCTCCCCCGACTTCTTCAGGTGAGGAACTGTTCTCCAGGGCATATTGCTGCAAATACTTTCCTTGTTAGATTCTCTTTTTGGCATCTTATTATTGAAAGCAGGAAAGCTATCTCAAAGTGGGTATGCTAAGAATACACAGCAAGTCAAAACAGTTGCATGTGAAGCCTGGTAATCTGTGTAATCTGTTGAGGGGACAAGTCCAATGAAATCTATCCAGTTGATCTGCTTAATGGGATTTATTACCTTTGATTAATGTAGACGTACAGTACTGACTGAGTACTTTGTGTTAAATGCGTCTTTGACAGTTGGGATAGAGAAGTTTTACAAATAGATGGAATATTTTTCATAAGTACTGAAAAATAAATTATTCAGTCAGGGACCTATTTTCAATATTGGAATCTTCTTGATGATGCCAGATTGGTTCATTTTCAGGCTCACTGATTTGAAGCATATCGAGTTCCTTGAAACAAATGACGTGCAGACTGTTTGGAATATACCATTTTGTGTGTATCTGGTGCATGGGCTGTTTGTAGGTTGGCTCTTTTTGGCAAGGTGGATTTTAATAAGCATAAAAAAATCAGGGAAATCTTTCTTGGAAAAAATGCATTTAATCAGCTTGGCTTAATTTTCCTCCCCAGACCTTCATAGTTTCTACATATGAATGTTACTGAGAAGTACAAACGTTAAACCACTGTTCTAGACCATGTCTTGGTAATGCAAAAGCAAAAGCCTTTTTTTTTGGTGTGCCTCTAAATTTGTGCTACCTTTAGGAAGCAGTGTGCACTGTTCTTATATTGTTAATGTGCAAATGAGAGCCTAATAAAGCATAAACTATCTAAACACATCTCTCCTAAAACATGTTAAAAAGGGCAATAGATAACACCTAGGCAAATCCAAAGGCATTCCTTCAAGTGTTTCTGATTAGGTAACAAAGTTTGAAAAAGAAAAGGGTAGTACAGGATATACTTCACAAATGGAAAAAAAAAATTCATTTTATATTTATGCATGAAATTAATTTAGACTGGCTAGGAAAGTGTATGTATTTGTTCAGAGTAATACTGTAAAATATCTTGTCTGTAAGCTTGATATGTCTCCTTTGAAAACAGTGACAGTACGTACATTGTCTTCAAAGTGAGACAGATCAAATCTGTTAAGAAATGGGGAAATAATGGCCTTTATATGGCCATTAAATAATGGCTGTAACTCAGCAAAATATCTGGCCTCTTTAAATGTGTGTATAGGTGGTAGAAATAAAATGTAATTTTTATTAATAAAGTCTTCAGCTGTTAAACATTGTTTTACATGTGTTCCATACTTGATCTGAGCCTGGCTGTTAAACTGATAGTCAGTACTGCTTGTGAAAAGCCTTGGTTTCCTTACTTTGATGTATGCAGCTATTAAAAAAAATTTTTTGGGGGGGGGGATTCTTGTTAGAGCTGAAAATGGAAAGCTATATATACTGTAAATAGTTAAAAATTACGGAAATGCCAGTATGTAGCGACTACCTTTAGTAGGCCATTAGATGCTTAAATGACTCTGGCCACTCAGGAATTGTTGCTTGGCATGTTGTACTATAAATTAATGATAAAGGCATGCTTATACAGCAGATGCTAATGGTGTCTCTGTGCCAACCATTTCAGTTCGGAAGCCACGATATGTCAGACGAGAACGGTCGCTAGTGACATCTGCATCTTCTGCTATGATCTCTTCTGCAGAAACAAGGGTCAGCAATGTTTAGCCTTCGTTCTTAACTGAAGACTTTGTACACAGTGTCGGAGAAACTTTTTCTAAATCCACTGAAGTGCCAGGAAAACATCGCAAGCAGCTGACCTAAATGCAAGCCAAATTACTGTGACAAGGGATTTGTGCCAAATATTAACAGAGAAGTGAACTTGTGTAAAGATGCTGATGAGAGGCTACATCCAGTTCTGTGAACTGCTTTGGTGGGCTTGAAATGCACTATTCCAGCTCTGTAATTTCACTTGTCTCCTACAGATGCTGTGGTTGAAGTCTATAAAGAATCTGCCTTTCTTTGGTACGCTTTCAATTTTGGCAAGTTTTTCTTCCTGTGTTGTGATATGTTCTCTTTCTCCAGAGCTGAATGTCTTGGTGCTGCTGATCCTTGGGATTGCTCAAGGGTGTGGGGCTTGTCTGAATGGCCCGCTTGTAAATGTTAACACTAAGTGCCACTGCTTTAGTGTTGTAGGAGAACATAACAATACTTAAAATGCAGTATTCTTTTGATGCAAAAACTGATGCCTCCTGGAGCATCTTCTTTGGTCTCTGACACTGGGTGACCTTGGTTTTTAACTGTGAATATAGACCCACTATGCAGATACTGTTGTTCTCACTGCTGTTAAAGGCTGTGGTCAGTATGGGTCTGATCCAAAGTGTGTGAATTTGCTGGGAAACCATTTTTCCAATGGTTTCAGCTTGGTCCTTGGATTAAAAAGCCATTTGCTATGGCTTTGTAATTGATAGGCTGCCATGTCTGCCATGCAAAGATGGACTCCACTAGCCTATTTCCTTCAAAAAAGCAGCTGAAGGGAAACCAAACTTCCTGGAGGGTAGCTGTGCATCCTTTGGACATATCAGTGAGTACTGAGGAGAACTAGAGAGATCAGATGAATTCCTGGCAATGCAATAAGAGTTTTCTTTAATCAAGCTCTTCATTAACATGCCTGACATCTGCAGGCCAGCACCTTGTGGCAGAGCTTGACAAGTATTGCCTTGTTGACACTGCCAGCATAAATAGCTGCTAGTCTCAAATGGTTGACCTTGCCCATCTTACGCCAGCTGTGCAGTGCGCTTGGTCAGGAAATTGCTGTAGCTGTAAAATGTTTTTTGGCTAGGTTATCTGTGAACCAAATTTTTTCCTGGTGTGATTGACTGTGTTGCAACATAAATACTTATCACGATGGGCACAGTGGTATGGGCTTGAGAGTGGGTGACTGGGAAATGAGTGAAAAACTTGGAGGTTGCTAAATCGGTCGAAGCGTCAGTGTCACCGCATGTGAAACTATTTCTAAGCAGCTTGTGCATTCCCTTCTGCCTGTGTTGCTATTGCCTGTTTTGGTTTAGCCCTTACATTCTGGATATGTACTTCTAAAGTAAATGACTTTGTGGCTATTCATCACCAGCCACTGGCATGAACATAATGATCACAAACTAGAACAGTTGGTTTGCTCTATCAGAAAATGTGAACATAACTGTCTTGATGTGATGTCCATATGGAGTGCAGAGATCCAGATTGTCTTCTCCCGGTGGTTACAAGCTTGTTAAAAGGCGTGGGATCAGAAGTGGTATGGGAGGGGATATATTTATCTTATCAAATAGACCCATTTTTATGCAAGCTTCAGTGTGGTTAAAATCACTTACATCTCTCTCCCAACAAGGAATGAGATCTCTTGTAGCATCCAAACAAGCAAGGGCAAAGATTAGGGATAAAGGACAAGGTCTGCTGACTCAAAGAGCCCCCTGAATTGCTATATGGAAGATACTTAAGATTGCCTTTCTATGGCAATGGAAAAAGAAATTTTTGTTCTAGTGGACAAAACTAAGCACAGTAGATAACGCCCTTTGAGACACTTTGTATTTTAATATGAAATATGCTTAAATTCGTATGTTCCCTGTTCAGGAGGTGGCATTTTTTTCTCTGTCTTTTCGATGTCTTTTTAAAACTCTATACTGCTGAGATTTTCCACATGTGAAAATTTGTTTGGAGGCAATAGGTTTTTCCTGAATTTGGTTGCTGAATATTTTCCTAACCTTTAAGGAAAAGGAGTAACTATGCAAATAATATAATGCCAAGAAATGGCACCTTTTAAAGCAGGGAGTTTCTGCTTGTGATTCTGTCAGTGATAGCGATACGTCCTTGAATTACATAGTTGCTAACCTGTTCTTTCAATCCAAAAATTGTTGAAGGAGCATTCATGCCATTGTTTTGGGGACTTGAAAATATCCCACGCCACTGCTACATGTATGTATCTGTCTGAACCCTGTCTGATCCTCAAGTGCGTATTGTAACCTAGTTCAATGTCAAGTGTCTAATACTCTTATTTTTTTCTGTGTAGTCAAGCTTTTTCTGAATGGTAAGGTCTCTCTCCCCCCCCTTCCTCCCCCCCCCCCCCTTCTCTTATTGATTTTTGTTGTTGTTGTGATTGTATTTCAGGAACTGTTCAGCTTTCATTATTGCTGTCTGACACAGTGGACTCCTAGTCTAAACAGTTTCTGGTTAATTTGCACTGTCAGTTTAAATACATAATGTAGTGTTTTGATTCCCCCTCCAAAATAATAGTAACATTAAAAAAAATTAAAAAAAAGGCTTTAATGAGCCCTCAGCTTTGAGCTAAATAACATAATTCTAAGACAAGGGATTGACATGTAATGTATTTGTGTATTTTTTTTTAATTGTGCCAAAATAAACATCTCTGAGCTTTTTTAACCACCGTGGAGGTCATGCATGTGTTTCCTTTTCAAGCACAGAATGAAGGGAGTGAAATTAGCACTCAAACCAAATCACTGTTTCAGCACAGAACCGAAGTTTCAAAAAGAAAGGCGTCTGCTCAGTGCCCGGTTCTACAGTAGGGTAGCCAGGCTGTAAGGTCCCAGAACTTCTCGTCATCTGCAGACCATCTCTTTACACCTTGAAGCAATATGTTTGTAAACAAGCATTTGTAATGGTAAATAAGGATGGCGACAAAAGCCATACATAATGGCTTTGCCTGTAGTGATGTCAAGGTGATGCTTTAGCAGAGACCGTAGCCTTGGAAGATGACTGAATTTTTATATCAGTGTATTTTTACTTAAAGCTCATTCGAAGAAGAGAGCAAGAGTTGCAAGTCTAAAGGAAGAGACTACTAAGCAATGCCAAATATAGTAGAAATTGAGATAATCATAAAAATAATTGGTTATCAGTTTAAGGGTGGACTATGGTCTTGGATTTGGGGATTCTGGTATCTTCCCCCATCTGCACTCCAATTCCTTTAAAAAGATGTGTTCTCTTCTCCTCTCCCTTTCCTCCCAGTGAATTTGGTTCACTTGCTGGATTTATTATTTTGATTTGCAAAAATGTATCTTGTGTTCTTAACTTTAGTTGCCAAAACAATCTGTAATAATGAGAGCTGAGCCAAAGGAAATTGAGATGCAGAGCCATATAATATGAACTATGGGTAGTTAAATTTGGAAGCACTCTTTTCCCTCGCAGAACTAGCTGAAGTAACCGGATCTATGAGAAATGTGCTGCATTTAGTGAAATACGCTGATGAGAAGAATAAGCCAGATGCTTTAATTCCTACTGTGCATACGCTGTGAAAAGCCTAATAGACTTTGTTGCCAAAGCTGAGGTGACAGTGTAATGTATATAGAGAAACTGACCTGGAAAATTATCCCGCTGAGAGAGGAAGACTTAAAAGTGATTTATCAGTTAAATGGACTCTGACCAACATGCACACCAAAATATAATAGCCTTTGGGAGGAGAAAGTACTGAGTGTCCTCACCATTAGCCACCCAACTCAATTCAATAGGTGAAATCAGTAGTAAGTGACTGGGGAAGAGCAGTGAGTGGATGTACAACAGCAGGGAACAATTTGAGACAGCATATTTTGCATACCTGAGAGGAACTGTCTCCTATATATATGTATGACACCATCTAAAGGTGAATGCATTGTATACGAAAGACTGACAATCATTTTTTAAAACCATGTGTTTTTAGTAAAACCTGAAATCCAGTTAAAAGACTCTCCAAAAGGCTGGTGCCATATGTATGAAGAAAGAAAGGGAAAGGACGTTGCGTACAGATACTCTTAAAATATCTTGCTGGGTAGCCAGTGTCTACAAACTGCAAGAAGCTTGCTCGATTAAGGAATGAAGCTTTCTACAAACAAAATGACTTAGGTCCTACCTTCTATCACCGGCTTCACTTTAAGTTCACAGAAACTGTCATGAGATTGCCTCTTGTGTCTTTCTCTTCCTATCCCCTTGTTTCCCCTTCATTGTTTCTCTTCCCTGTGCCCTTCCTGCACCCATCAAAAGCATCTTGGGAAATATTGCTTAGGAATGCACCTAGGATTATGGGGACAGGTTTATAACTTCCTGAGGGCATAAGTTAAAGCTTTCAGCCTTAAAGTAATAGAAGAAGACAAAGAGGAGTGGGGAAAAAGTGTGTGTGTGTGTGTGTGTGTGGTTTCAGTGTAAATTGGGAAGAAAGAAGAGTAAGTTTCATGATGGCTGCACTCATTGTCCTCTACAGTTACAAAGGCTGAAGTCTGAGATGCATGGGCAAAGAGAAGAGTGGGAAAGCATTCCTTCTCTTCTGCCTCCCAACCCCAGCTGGCACAGGAATGTAGTCTTTTGGAATGGAGTGCATCCGTTCCTACAGCGCTTAGGCTAATCTAGGATGCAGTAATGTGAGCTGTCAGCTCATCGGATTACTGTAACGTGGTGTCAATACCTGTAAAGTTTTGCCCATAAATTTTTGATTTCAGTTACTCCTCTCCAAATGCCAACTGTTCCTTCCTAGAGCGTGATCTTTTCTCCTAAGCTTAAACCTCGTTCTAACGTTTTCACCCCATCCTCTCCGCTGGGTTCATGCTGCAGACCCCCAAAATGCAACCTGTAAAGGATAGGAGACGGCACCCGCGTTTATATGTGCTCCTTATAACATGAGGAATTCTTAGACTTATGTAACGAAATCTGAACCTTGTACTAGGTATAAGGAAAAGGGAGACCTGCAAAACAGTTAATTTTAAATGCATATATATTAAAAAAAAATATGTATAGAGAAGCTGATTTTAGTTGGTACTCAAATTATTTTTGGCAGGGCTTAAAAGAGTTATGAAAATGTTTTTAGCTGTAATTGTGCTGAAGATAACAGAATTTGGGAATAAGTTAACTGAAGAGAGAGACTGTGTGTGTGTGCTACTTTATGTATTACATAATAACCTGCTAGTTTACAGTGTGTTGAGAAATGAGCTGTAAATAGTAAGGGTCATGACCTGAGTTGGCTGAGGGCAATTGTAATTAGATATACTGTGATGAGGAAAAAAAGGGTTTTTTGTCAGCATCTGCTAGCAGTTCCCGTTGAGCCCAAACCACTACTGATAGCAAGTTGTGGCTGTCTGATGACTGTTCGGTGTGAAAAGAGTTTGCCAGCCTGAGTGCGTTTCCCAGTGCAAAACTGACCGTGTCCCAGGCCTCCAGATCTAGGACATTTGGTAATATGGTTGACAGCCGTGGGTGATGGACCAAACAACATGTGTTAAACTTTCTGGCTTGACGTCCTCCTATCTTATGCTGGTGTAAAGTAGGAATGCAGTGGAAACCATTGGCACTGAGGTAATAGCAGAAGGTAAGGAACAGGCTCACAGCCTCCTAGCCACAGCCTATTTGTTCATCAGCATCACTGTAGCAATCCATGCCAGATGGTGATGATGGTAATGAACATCTTTAGGTTAGGATGATCTTGGGAACAGGAACTATGTTACTTGTCACCAGTTGTGTACAATCTCATCTCCATTTTAAGTAATGTGTCCAAAACGAATATAGCGATTTTTTTTTTATTGGGCTAGGCCCCATTCGGGGGAAAGAGATTGAAGCTTGAAACACAACTTGTAGTCAAATGAATGGTGCAGCAGAGGAAAGGACTGGTTCTGATCTTGAAAACATTGCCAACTGATGAGATAACGCTTGTAAACACGTAGTAGTTGATGTAAATCCTCAGGAGTAAGCCCATCAAAATTTTGTGTCAGCTTTACAGAAAGATGACGTCTTTTGCAGTGCTCCTGTCTTGGAGCCAACGTAATGTAAAAATGCTATGTCAGTTGAGAATTTCGTCTAATAGCCCCATGATATACTGACTCAGTGCTGTACCAGGTAGGGTTTAATTCTTTAGCGTTAGGTATTCTTATCCTGTTTTCTTCAATTTGTGCCATAGCTAATAATCAGAGCAGGTTAAATAAGAGTTAATATCTCCTGAAACACTTACAAAATATGGGCTAGGGCTTCTGTAGAGTTTTCATGAATTTCCTTTCCCCAGATTCTGGCTACATTGCATGATAACGCTTTTTGCGTTCAAACAGTATTTTGCAAGGGCAGTTAGCATGCATATTAGCAAATGTTCTCTGTTAGCAGGGCTGGTACTCAGGAGAGGTGACCATCTCCTGTTCTGTACCCAAGCTCCTTGTAGGATGAGTATTGCATTTTCTGAAATGATTCTTCAGTTCTAGTCCTGCTCTTTGGGATAGGGCAGGGAAAAGACAGAAGAAGAGTAAAAAGTGAAGGTGACAGAGAAAAGATAAGCACCTCTTTGCTGCAATTTTCTTTGGCAGAGAAAGAGAACAGCAAGTGCCGGTTCTCCTGTCACTACTATGATACAGGATATATTGGTGGGTACGTAGTTACTTTCAAACAATGTGTTTCTGCTGGAAGAGGCATACTACTTCTGTTCAAAGAGGTGCAGAAGTACCACTGATTATTCACTCTTAAAGGATACTGCCTTGCTCCACATTTGGCCGTTGCAATGGAGAAAAGCTGAGGCTGCAAGAAAGGCCAGATAAGCAGCCAGCAAAAGGTAGAATGACCATTGGGAAAAGGTGATCCAGAGTGCTTAATTTGTTTGTTTTCTGTATTTAACAGAGTCAAAGCTCTCCTCCAGATCCTAGCTAACTGGGATTTCTGTACATGACCTTTAAATAATCTTTCTCTCTTCTGATTCCTACTCTGCATCAGATCCCACCCTGCTCCCCTTTCTTGTCATGATGCTCATGAAATTTTCCCAGCTGTGATACAGCAAGCAAATATTAGCGATCACGTAAAGAGTAGGTTCTAAGCATCCATGTGAGCTGCCTGATCTGTCTCACTTCCTGTTGTCCTACTGTCATCTATAACATTGAAGCATCATCTGCTCCCTCCTGCCTGCTTTGAAGAAAGATCAAATGCTTGGAAGGTGTGTTAATGTCTTACAGGAAAGATTTAGAATAATGCAAATGCAGACTCTGCTATCTCCTTTCCCCTTGCTTTTCTTATATAATGTGAAATGTCCCTAACTATGTAATGTGATAGAATAGCTACTATAAAACACTCTATGGTGCTTCAAAGTATTTGATAACACAGATAAC